TATGGTACAGTTTCTTCTCCTCACAGCTGGAGCTGCGAGCAGCTGTTGCCTCAGACAGTGAGCAGGCCAGGCCATCAACAGCAAAGCAAAGTTCTGACTCTACGTTCCCACAGCATCCCCGCATACGTCGCCAAACGCCGCTTTTTCTTCGCCTTGTGCCCAGAGCTCGACTGCCCTCGGAAGCAAGCGTCTTGAGTGCAACATGGTGAAGCAGCGGTGTGGACCCTTCGTTGCAGCGGGTCATCCAACCTTTTGGCGGGATGCAGAAACTCCGCTCCAGTGCTGTGATGGTCTCGCAAGGTCTCGCAGGTGCACATGCTGTGATGGATGAGTCCTGCTGCGATGGCAGGTGGCAGCCCCCCGAGCAGCCACGAGTCAACCAACACTGAGCGCAGCTGTGGGCGGGCAGGCCAAGCAGATGTCGAGGGCGAGGAGGCCTGGTCAAAGCGGTTGGCACAGTTTCCGGGCAGTTTTGGCTTTGTGGCACTTGGGATGCCTAGGCTCAGGTTACATTTGCCGGAGTCTTGAGCTACGTGTGCAGGATTTTTGGTGATCATTGCATTTGCTGCAGACTTTTTTGAAGAGCGTAGCTCATGGCAGTACACCGCGTCCACCCGATCGGGATGACAGCAACAGCAGTCAGACTCACAGCATTTGAGTGTGGCGTTCATGATCACTGCCTGTGCTGCTCATGGTAGCTGTACGGGTGTGCTTGTAGTTAGCTGAGGCTACATGAAAACCGTCGAGAAACCGATGTCTTGAAATCTACAAGCACCGGCAGGCATGAAGCAAAGTCTTGGCCAGAAAGTGCCGCGAAAGGGTTTGCAAAATAGCTTGGGTCAGTCTAAGCAGTATCCTTGACAGCCAGAGCGTTCAATATGTTACTTGTTGAGTTTATGGTGTCCTGCAAGCAGCAAGCATGTAGAATAGAGTAGATCACGCTTTGCAAAAGTAGGCCTCCAGCTCCAATTGTTTGGCAGCCAGCTGCAATTGAAAAGGACAAACAAGATGGGCGACACAGTGCGGTAGGTACTGTATAGCGTCAGCGCATCGCCCCGAAAACATGAACCGACATGCCACCGGTCCTTCATGGAGCCCACACCCGTCTCCCTCCCACAAAATCCCAAATTTCCGAACCGGCCGCATATACCTCAACCCTGAGAGAGCACTCTAATATAGCTGGGGTGGTCATGTTGTCCACTGCCAGGCGGGCTCTTACCATCGCTTGCTTGACAGCATAGAAACTGGGAGGAACATGTTAACAGATAAACCAGATGCAGGGTGACTTGCCTGCTTGTTGCCCGTAATTCTATACGGTTTCAATTGCCATGACAGTCAGGAGTTGTGGCGGATCTTTTTGCTGGATTTGGCAAGGAATAATTAGGCGACCGTCCAGCTGGTTTCACAGGCTGTGTCTTTTTTCAAAGGCTCAGTGTGAGGCTTTGGTGTCGAAGTGACCGACTAGACATATGTCGGCATTGAAGTCCTTGATGGGTTGGATGGGCGCGAGGGCTGCTGTGTCCATTTCCTTTTCCATTATCAAAGGGAATGAGCAGTCCAAAGGCTTCTTGGAGTATCCATGTCTAAATTTAGAACAATACCGGCGCCTGTACTCGGTTTCCTGTTGTAATTAGTGTCCTGATGCACATTTTCCCATTGATAAAGCAATAATTTCAGCAAACTCCCACATTTGTAGTGCTCAAGCTTTCTCTCATTAGGCTGGGGCTGGTAAACTGTAATGCGTTGCCATTGTCCAGGCTGTGCTCAGCGATCGTTGGATGCCAGTATCCACCGTTTGAGGCTCAGCTGGCAGTGCAACGGCCCGCAATCATAATCTGGGACAAAATTCTGGATCGGTGCGTGGCCACCCACCCTCCGACACCAGGCCCCCCAGCGTCTTCGCATGCCCTCGTGTGATGAGTCTTTGTATCACCTTTCCTGGCAAGAATTTTCACTGTGTCTTAATATCATTGGGAAAAAGAAGCCGAAAACACCCAATGATTTTTTACAACGGGCAGTCCCAATTTCGAGATCCGCAAAAGCTGGTCTTCTCTGACCAGGTGACATAAGGATATTGGACATTGTTACAAGAAAACGAAAAACACGTGCGCCAGAAATCAGTGGCAAGCTTGGGTCTAGGCTCAAAAGTGCCATGATGTCCAAGTTCAAGTCAAGTTTCTAGGGAGTCCAACCATGACATCTCAGGGCTGCGCACTCAGACCCGTAGCGCCGCTTCTCACCGGACTGCGGGAGCACTTCGTGGTTGAACAAGGCATAGTGAACCTGCAACCGCAATTGTTACTACCAGCTTATTTTAGTAAAATAAGTTTACTATCTTGAGGCCGGCAATGCTACGATTGTCTACAAGTCTTGTAGGACCGTAAGGAGGCCAGCACAAGGACTGCCACCATTTTCCTCCTACCTTCCGTAATCCCCGAACCCTCAACCCAAAACCTCGGTCACGCCAGTATGACAAAAAACAGTTCCTCTTTTCAAATACATTCCAGGGCTAATCTTGCTATGATCAATCGATCCTCATGTACCTGTATACATACTATCACTCTCTAGAGGGATGCTCATCTACCACAGGTCTCCCTGCTAGACTTGTACCTACTCTGCGTGCCAGACCTATGCAGAAACTTATTGCTGCCGCGAACTCAGCAGGAACTGTAGCCAAGAATGTGCGCGAAGTCATATAGGGGCCAAAGAAATTAGCAACATTCATCCCGGGCAATCCTTGTATCTTCACGGTATGATATACCCTAGACGCCTAGTCTGATTGGTCTTTTGTATTGGGCTTAAGGGACTGGCGCTGGGGCGCTGCCGCCAGCTGCCAACATAGGCGGGGCCAACCAAGACTACCGCCCTAAACCCTAAACCAACGTTAGGAGTTGGAATCCTCAGGGCTGAACACTTTACGGAAAGCAGGGGCTCCATACTGCCGAACTGACGTAGCCAGGGGCCGAACCTGAACCTTGTCAGTGCATGCGTGTGGGAGTTTGTCAGAATGGCCCCTATATAATTTCTGATAAGGGCTGCCATAATCTCTTTTCGTCCCTATATCCCCTGAGGTCCCTAAGGGCCCCCTATTTTGAGAAACCCGCATGTTGGTAGCAGAGTCGGTTTGAACCATGGTTGCGTCACAGGATGTCCACCATGTGTTTGAGAACTGACATGAACGGAAAAGAAAACGGAAACTATAACATGATAGTAGTTTTCATTTTCCAGTACTTACTAGTAGAAGCCCAGCAGATCTGAGGGCATGCTCGCTAACGTCATAACAATCTTGATCATAAGTGGCAGCTGCAGATGTGGCTCCCCGTTCTACAGGAGGCTTTACTTCACTTCCCAGTTTCCTTTCGGTTTCATCTTCCATGATGTTATACACATGTAGATGCATAAGTGATACAAAAGTTGCTTTGCTCTGAGTCTCCGTGGGATGAGGGTTTGACTGCGTAAACATTCGCCGAGGATCATCTAGAAGCTGCAACGAGGCAGGGAGCCGAGAGCCATCATCCGATGTCATGTGGTGAGCTGTCGGCCTGCGGTTGACATTAGCCAATGTCAGGTCGTCCAGGCCCGATTGGCCAGACTGGTGGACTCCAGAAAAGCCGAAAGGCAAGCCAAAAGCTGTGCCACTCTCGCCTTCTATTCGCACTGATGACCACCCGCACCCCCACCAGACTGTTCAGGAGAGAGATTTCACCGTGGCAAGGGCTTGATCGAAAGAATGTTGCTGCTCAGGTGTATATGCTTTTTGTGTGTCCTTGTGACTGAAGCTCAAATGTCTGTGTGTGTGTGCATCTCACTCCCTCACGAAACCTCTCGTTCATTTGTTAGCCCCTGCATCAGAGCCAGGCTCACAGCCGCGTTCATCAATGAGTTGAAGCTATTCACATGTTCAATGAGCACATTTGAAACGGACCAATGCAGTGCAAGAGAGGGCTGGATGGATATCAGAAGTCTGATTGAACAGTTTTTGTTCGAGCCATGGTGATGAAGCTACGCGGGAAGGCCTGGCCCACCTGGGCACTAAGGGCCCTGGCCCCTGTCATCCGCAGACGCCGTGCGGAGAAGGAGTTTGGCAAGTTGGAGCACGGCGTGGCTCAGGATGAATCTGGAGTACACCTTGCTCTTCCTGTAATTTACCATATTTTCCATACTCCATGTTGGGTTACACTTTGATCCACCAAAGCTCAATGTGTACAAGTGCAGGCTTTCGCACTGCATGCTGTATGGAAGTCTTAGTCTAAATGAGGCTTTGTTAGTCACAGCTTGGCATTTGCAAATGCGGCCTGTCACCTAGTCACAAGTTCCAACCTAAATGTGTATATATATATTTATTTTTTTTCTTGATTATATGTGTGTAGGTATACATATATTCATTTATTTATTGATTGGAATACGCATGTAAGCCCAGTCTCCATTTCATGTGCCGCTTTCTTTGCCATTTAATCGTCCATTAGCAGTGTTGCTTCCCTATGACTATAGATCCTTATACACCCCCCTTAAAAGGACTCAGGATTTCCATGTCAGTCTTCTGTCTGTTTCCCTTTGATTCTCGATTATTGGGGTAATATCCCTGTAAATGTAACTTACATAATCTCAATATATATACCCTGTCATAGCATAGCAGTTTTTATCTTCTTTTACAGTATCCTGCATATTATTATGGGACTAGACTGCATGTCTGTGGTCTTTCAGAAGGGTGGCAACGACTGCATGATTGAGGTGTCGAGCTGCAGGCATGACTATGAAGAGGCCACCCCCGTCGGGATGAGGCCAGGGAATCACAGAGCGCAGATGACCACATTCTGGGGTTTGTGGATGTCGACAAAGTCATTGAAAACTGAAAAAAGCATCTGAGAATTGGATGAATCCCTCATGACCCTTACTAGATTGCTGTTAAGGAACTTAAGTGAAGTTGCCAGAATATGGGTACATAGGGTCTGAAATCTGAAGCAAAAGGCCTGCTTTAGGCTTTGCTTTCGCTCGCGGAGGCGTCAGCTCCTCTGTGAGGCACGTCACGCTGCCCCTTCCGTGGACGAGGAAACACCTCTGAATTCCCCACGACCTGATGCTTAGACTGCAAGGTACTGAACCATTGGGGCAAGAAAAGAAAAGTTTCTCCCACTTGTTTAACAGGTGTTCCCCGATTGTTAGTACCTGATACTTTGACTGCAATGACTTTGGCCATGTGCGGGGCGCAAAGAATCCTAGAGCCTAGAGACTGTTTGGCTACAGGCAGGTTATGCCGTTTGTTTTTGTTCTGGCCGACTTGCTCAAGAAATTCGGAAATTCAGTGCTATGTCAGCTGAGGATGAGGAGGAACCTGGTGCCACAGGTGGTGCTGAAGGGGAAGAGCCACCACCAGAGGGCGGGGATGAAGGTGGAGAAACTTGGCTCATCATTCTGCGCTTCAGAACTACCTTGCTTTGACATGTGAAGGCGTTTTATTCGCAACTCTGATTCCTATGAACCCTCTACATCTCTAGTGGATGTTCACTTCGTCATTTGTTGTGCTCGATGTGTCAGCTGAGAATCAAAAGACAACATCACAACATCCAAGCTCAGGGGCGAGCTGCACAGCTTCGGGCCCAAGACATCATAGAAAAGACCACTAGCAAGCAAGGCGCTCTTGACATTCAATTGCGCAAGAAGGAGCTTTCGTCCTAAGAGCCTTCCAGTGCTCCATTTCAGCTTAGGCAGAACCTGCCTGAGTAGATCCTCTGTCCCAATTTCCAAGGACTTGTCCAAGAACTTCCGCGAGCTCATGCAGTACTCCGCCGCTGACCGGAAGGCCAGGCCCAGAGAATCGCACTCAAGCAGGACAACTGAAGCTGGGAGGCAGAGAACTTCATGCCCCTCGAGGGCAACTTGTACCGAAACCTGGCCAAAAATGACAGGTTAGGTTCACGGGCGTGACCGCGAACTGGGCTGTAGGCAATCCTCGAGTAGAAAGGAACGGCACATGCACAGAAGCATTTTTTGGGGATGCCAGGATTAGGATCAGGATCCAGAAGCACTTCAAACGCAGGGTGCATTTTGCAACCCAACAAAACCTCTAGGATTGAAGAAATCTCAGGTACATGGCCGCTCTTACACAGAGTGTGAGAGCTGATTCTGAAATCTGATTTGCGTACCAAACTTTGAAGACACCAAAGGCTCAAAATAACAACGCTTACTGACCTACCGCTTACAGGTCTTGGCTAAGAGAATCTCTCTTCGTAGGTATGGAGAAGCCCTTGCAACTGCGGAAGACAACAGGCACGTTAATATATGTTAGTCTGAAGTTCAAGGGCCTAATTGGGCGGGGGCTGGGAGAGCTGATTCTGAAACCTGATTTGCGTGAGGATCGGGAAAATAGTTCTATCATGTTCCTTTACTGTGGCGGTTGGGCCCTTTTTTATCACGGGCAAGGAACAACAGCAACCCCCACGCTAACCCCGCTGCTGACACAACCAGCAGCAATCCAACGCCGAGAAAATCACAACTGCGACTTCTTCCCTTGTCCAGTTGGCCTCAGGCTATTTTGGGCTGGGCATCGTGTCAAACTACTGGACCGTCCAATCCTTGGGAATGCCAGAGGCTGAGCATGCGGGTGCATTTTATCAATATAGTACGGGCTCATGAAATGTATGAATGGGATAATATGGTCATGAGGAGTGGATTGTGATACCCGCTAGAACAGAAGTTCGGTAACAACACCGGCAAGACTTTGCGAGTTCTAGAGATAAGTGGGAGTGATATTACGACCATGAGTCCATGAGTTTCCGCTTTTGTTGTCAAACTCCTTGGAAAAACGGAAGTGCAGGTCCGTAGCTGGGGCTTAATTATTCCTATACAATCTACCGCATGAGCACGGTGGCACGACAATCAATCTACAGTAAGAGCACGATGGCACAACGATGTGCGTGCTGCTGTGCTTGGCTCAGTGCCTTCGCTTGCGCTTCCAAATCAGTACTATGTTCGTCAAACATTTTTGCTTGTGCATGCTGAGCGTGCCACATGCGCCTCATGTGGCCCGTGACCCATCACTTTACATGTGGAGCATTTCGCTCACTCGTTGCAATTGCTTTGAAATATCAAGCGCAGCATTTTGTTGTCGCCGGCCTGGCTAGAGCTGCAGACGAGTGAGGCTGTGATGATCTCATCATGCCTTGCAGTCTGCTCAGCGGCTTAGCGCGCTCCGGCAAGAATGCTCGCCTCAGTGCGACAGCGTTGGAAAGCGATGTCCTTGGCCGTTGCAAACAGGTTCGGAGGTGCAGTGACACAAGTCTTTGTCCTCATGGCGCTGGCCTGTCAAATCCAAGCCCCGTGGCTCCAATCACATCTTCACTTGTGAGGTGGCCACCTCCCACAGCCAAAAGCAAGCCCTGCTGGCGATTTTTGCCCAAGGGCTCGCAAGTTTCCGTAAACCACGCCCGGCTGTTGCTTGCAGAGACCATTTTGACGCTTCTCTGGACCTGCCACTCCTCCACCAGCACTGTCTGCCAGCTTAAGTCGGATCGCATGCTGATTTGTTTCTTTCTTTCGTCTGGCCTGCTACTAACGAATTGCCTACTAGTGCTCTTACTATATGTCTTATTCTCCTGGCAGCATGATGGCCCGATGATTGTTGTTTATTGCTGGCACTGGCATTGTTGCTAGTCTTTGTTGCAGCCAAGCCTTTGCCTGCTATTCTGACTTTCGTTCTGTCTGTGCAATTAAGTGCGATTCCTGGTGGTAGTACGGGTGTTACTATGACCTTCTGACCGTTCATAATATTACTGTTACTATCGCTGCTCTTATCATCTTATTCTTGCTGCAAGTATGAGCTTGCAATTGTTGCTGAGTATGAAACTAAATTTTTGCATGCGTTGACTACGCTTCGGCGTTTCACGTGTGCTGCACACTTTGATTGGCGCTCTGTGAGTGAATGAGTGAGAGAGTGAGTGACTATGTTTCCTCTCGTCAGTATTCAGTCGTTATGAGGAGATACATGCGAGTGTTTGTGGAAGCCAAGCCAGACTCCCAAGAAACGCCTCAAATGATGCCTCACGATGCCTACGGCCAATCCATTCGATAGGAACGGGCGTAGATGAGATTAGACGCACCCTGCAAATAAGAAATCTGGGATGGGCTCAGGGCCGGAGCAGATTTCTGGTCCGAGGGGCTGGAGCCTCTCCAGCCCCCTTGGCCCCTCCAGCTCAGCTGAACCGAATTTCTTATCACTCCCACCAAACGCAAAGCAAAGCGAAAGGCTCCAGCCCCTCCAGCCCAACCCCCCCAGCCTTCAGGTTTGCTTTGCATTCGCTTGGAATGGGAGGAATAAGAAAGGGCCCCTCCAGCCTTGCGGTTTGCTTTGCGTTTGGTTTGAAGGTGGGAGCAATAAGAAATGTTGGAGGGGCTGGAGGGATTGGAAGGGTTGGAGGGGCTGGAGCCCTCCAGCTCAGCTTTCTTATCACTCCCACCTTTAAACCGAACGCAAAGAAAACTGAAATGGAGGGGCTGGGGCTGGAGCCCCGAGAACCCCTTCAGCTTGGAGGTGGGAGCGATAAGAAATTCGGCTCAGCTGCGCCTTTCAGCCCGCCAGCCTCTAGGTTTGCTTTGCGTTCAGTTTGAGGCTGCAGAGGCTCCAGCCCATCCAACCCCTCCAGCCTTTTGGTTTGCTTCCTCTCCAGCGCCCTCGGCCCCTAGATCAGCTGAACCCATTTTTGTTATCATTCCCACGTTCAAACAAACACAAAACAAGCCCCCCTCTAGCCCCTCCAGTCCCTCCAACCCCTCCAGCCCCTCCAGTTTCTCCAGCCTTCAGTTCAGCTGAGCCGAGCTGCTCCCACCTTCAAACCGGAGCATTCATCGAGCTGCACAAAAGGTATTCTTGAGTGCTTCAGAAACTACATTGCTGTAATCTACAATACCTTTGGCAGTGACTCCAGGGGCCGCACGGATTGTCACTTGCAGTATTCCGAGCATTCAAGTACGTAAGGGTGCATCACTTTGTTGGTTGTGAATGCCGAGGAGGAAGAAAACGGAAAAACAAGACATGCAAGGCAAAGCTGCAACAAAAGCTCAGCCCCATTGACGGCATTGAGCAAAACTCATCTCCACGTCAACCCCTGCTGCATCAAAGTGTGAAGTGTTGTGAATTGTAATACCTTTTCAACTGGTTTGTTTATATTGTTATGCTACTTTGCCTACGCTGTTTAAGCATTGCTTTGTACGTCGTTCATTGTTCTTAGCTCTTGTACGTCCAAGTCTGAAACCTCACATGTCTGACGTGCATACCTGTATGCACAGAAACTTTTGGAGGGTCAGGTAAACTAACCTCATGCGTTCTGTCAGCATCCTGCCGCTCATGAAAACTGTGCACCCTCGCTAGCCTGATCTAGCCTGTCACACAGGCCTGAACTTCACAGAAGCTGTTTTGCCAAGGGTTACCATTTTCCTGGTACAGCTGCTGTCACCGCCGGCTTGCCTCATCCAGAATTTGTACAAGATGGCCCCTCGCCCAAAATGCAGGTCATGACATGGTCACAGCCAGCTGGCCAACGTATGGCTGAGGATTGGCAACACTGGAATTTCGGTGTAAATGACTGGGAATACGTTCATGGCAGCAACCACCACGGCATCTCAAATCTCTCCAAGCATGTGGTGGCCACCCTGCGCCTTGCCCTATGATGCTGAGCATGTGTTGGAGCTGTTCATGTGACATAGGCCACAAAATTCTCCTGGCTTTCCAGGGTTCTGGCTTTGTTGTAGGCTGAGCAAGGTTTCTGACTATGTTCTGCCTGAACGGGGCCATGGTCATCGAGCAAGATCGGGTGGTCTCGATGCTGCTTGGTTGCAATGGAGCAACAAATTGCTCTGGGAATTTTCAGGACTTGAGTCCCTCGTTTATGGACCCTGAACCACGGGTCATCCTTGTCTTTGGAAGTTTCGGTTTTGAGGGCCCAGAACGTTTGCTTTATTACTTCATCGACCTTTTTCAGCCTGCTTCTGTTCGATGTGGGTCTGAGGAAGATCAGCGCAATGCTGGAACAGATTGGCAAAGACATGCCCGACTATTTGAAGGAGGTGAATTTTTGGTGGCTGCATGCTGGGCGTGTGATGAACTGTCTCGTGGTGATAGACGCACAGCAGAAAGAAAGCATGTTATTTCATTTCCCTACAGCTCAAGCAGGCTTATGCTGCATCAACATTGTGCTGGATTCATGAAATCTGAATAATTGCAGAAGTCCGAAAGTTGCGTGCATCTACTATGTACCAGGAATGTTCTGTCATCGTCTACTTTGCTTTCGTCTTGTCGGAGACGCCTATGGATGTCCTCTTCAACTCCATGGCGGTGACCTTCCTTTACAACCTGGACGACATTGGAGGAGAAATGGGCCACTCGCCAGAAGCTTTCTTTGCTACTCATGTCTGCTGATCATGTTGAGGACAGTCATGCTACTCAGCAAGATCCTACTCGCGACGACAAACACAAGCACAACAGCTGGATGACAAAAATGAATATTGGCTATGTTGGTACAAGCTTTAGAGCAATGACAGAGGCGGGCAAGAAAGTACCTAACAACTGCAGCGACGAACATCATACCATCCGAATCCTAACAAAAGCAGTCATAGAGGTGCTTACAAGTTTATGTGGTAACCTTGTAGAAATTTCCTGAGATCTTCACTCATGAATGTCAGGATGAAGATTGTAAAGGTTATCAGCGCAGTAAGTATAGTCATAAGGATCACCCCTCCCCCCAAAAAGCACAACTCCGCCACAAGTATGTCAGAGTCACAGGGCCTCATTTTGAAGGGTTGCCAAAATTGTGTTCTGTGGTGCTGTGCCCATGGAGGACACGCCACATGAACTATTGATATCTCGGGCAGAAGCGACTGCACACCAGTCGCGACCGCCCCGGACAGCGAAGAAGAAACTAGAGGCATTCTTTCTTGTCCTTCAAGAGGGCCCTTCCCTTGGCCCACTTGAGCAGCCGAAGCTGAAAAGGTGCGTGGTAATTATGTCTATGCCTGCCACCTGCTACAACAAATTGTATGCGTTCCCAGCCTTGTGCTAATGGCATCGTAACAGGCACATGCATGACTCCTCCCCCACGTGCATGATTAAGATCCGGGCGTTGTTATCATGGCCGTCGTCCTGGCAATCAATATCATCTAAATTTCATTGCTCATGCTCGAAGGTTGGGGACAGGAAGGCCTGTGCTGCAAGGCCCATCAGCGGCAGTAGTAGTAGCAGTAGTCGTAGTCGTACAGTAGTCGTAGTCGTCGTCGTCGTCGTCGTAGTAGTAGTAGTAGTAGGAGGAGGAGGAGGAGGGGGAGTAGGAGTATTATGTAGTAGTAGTAGTAGTAGTGGTCGTCGTCGTCGTCGTCGTCGTCCTCCTCAGGCCATGCAGCAGCATTAGAGCCACTGGAACCACGCTTCTATGAACTGGACTCAGGTTTCTTGACAGATGACGACTGGGACGGTGAAGAATTGGGAAACTAGTTTGCAACTTAGGAAGTGTTCCTCTATATTGTACGGAAAACCAATGTGACTGATTCGCACGGTCTGTTCCGTACCAAGGCAAGCTTTATTTCAATTCCGCTTCTGGGCTGCAACTTCCAGGGAGTGATGCTTGAATATGAATAAGCCAGCTCTTCAAAAGACCAATCTGGATTTGTCTTGGACCCAAAGCAGCAGGTCGGAGATACCAGGTTTGTCAGCAGCACTTTCTTGCACCTGGATGAAAGATCACAGATCGACCAGATACAGCCTGCAAGCAGTGCTACAAAGTTTGCGCGTGTCGAGTTTGTAGGTTGCAAGCTTAGGTTTGCGAGCTCATGGACACACACGGCCTCACCGACCAGGGCTTTGATCCTGACACGATTGCCACGTCCAAGTACATGCGGAACACCTACAGCGCCTCAGAGGAACAGACTCAAGTGGCCCTTGTTCTACAAAAGTGTCGTCTCAAGGCATGTAAGCCTTTGACGTGAGGTTGGAGAAACACATCGAACTTGTGCTTTTGTTCATGAGAAGCTCAAGTAGCGGACTGCGTACAGATCAGCAGTAGTAGTAGTAGTAGTA